CCTTTGCGTTGCTAAGCTTGTTCTAAGTAGGTGCTTTAGACCACTGAGCCATCTCACCAGCCCGGGAAGTGTTTTGAGAGGGTTCACGGCACGTGTTTTTTTCCGTGACACATTTTTTTTTTTAAAATTTACACATTCACTGTATTTTTCCCTCCTAACTCAGGGGCCCAGGGAAGGCTTGGAGAAGAGGCCCTGCCCAGGGGTCCTCTGCCCATACCTGGCCTCGGGACGGTAGAGGGCAGTCCCTGCGCCAGCCCTCGCCTCTGCCTCCAGCACAGTTCCCCCACCGTGGGGGGTGGTGTGGGCATCTGGGTGGAAGCCAGCTCACCCCACCTCTCCAGCGCTGCCTCTGCCTAGCTGGGATCTGCCAGTCTTCACGGGGCCAACCCCTGCCACCTGGACTGGGTGCTGCCCTGCCCTGCTGCCCACAAAGGGCCTCCGGTTCCCAGGTCCCTGGGGCTGGGGCTGGGGCTGTGCTCCCCGGCCTAGGTGCCCTCCTCCCTCCCCCACCCAGGCCTGGTGTTTCAAGGGCGGCAGCCGCAGACCTGCACTGGTGGGTTGGGGAACCCCAGGCCGGGTGATGAAGGAGTGGAGACAGGACCAGGTGGGCGGAAGCCACCTCTGCACCCTGAGTGGATGACGGGTGCTGTTCTGGTTCCGGGAGGCCTTGGGTGCCCTGGGTTGGGTGCTGTAGCGGAGAAGGGGCTGGAAGTCACTGCTGGGCGGGGAGGGAAGGGTCGTCTTGCCGGGGACAGCCGTCCAGGGCCGTCCAGGGCGCAGCGGACGAGCTGGTTTCCGAGGGGGAGGCGTGAGAACCTGGGCCTGGAATGTGAAGCTGGAGCTGCTCGCCCCTGGGGCGGCCAGGAAGCGGGGGTGGTGGGAGGGAGCCCAGCTGGGTGGCCGCCAGCTCCGCCCAGGCCTTGCATCCTGCATTCCTGGGGCCGTAGGGGCGGCAGGAGGCGGGAAAGAGGCACTGGCTGGGCTCCGGCCTAGGGCCCTGGGTGCTTGTGGGGGCCTGGAGGGGTCCAGGCCTCTTCCGGCTGCCCGAGCCCTTCCTGCCTGCCGCCGAGCTTCCTTTCTCGCAAGGTCTCCTGGGCTGGCCAGACCCGCCCTGTCTTGGGTGTGAGCCCTGGTTCTGCCCTTCCCCAGCTGTGCGTCTGGGAGCCGCTGAGCCACCCTCTCTGAGCCAGGCTTTCTGGTTTCTTTGCTGGCGAGCTGAGGTGTGGAGTCTCACCCAGGGGCTGCCTCAGCTGGGCTGGGCAGCTTATGGGACACAGATTTAACTTTCTCTCAGTCTCGAGGCTAGAAAGGTCCTGGTCAGGATGGGGCTTGATTATTTTACTTGTGATTGGATCTCACTCTGCGCCCAGCTGACCCCAGGCTTCTGGGCTCCTGCGATCCTCCTGCCTCAGCCCCCCACCCCCAGCCCATAGCTGGGGCTGCAGGTGTACCTCTGGACCCAGCTACATACGTGTTTGCTTTTTCAGACAGTTTCCCCTGTAGCGGTGTATAGTGTGTGCACACCTGTAACCTCAGCTGCTCTGGAGGCTGAGGCAGGAGGACCACAAGGTTGAGGCCAGTCTGGGCATTCCTGGCAAGGGCGTACCTCTAACAGAAGTTGCAAAGGGCCAGGCACGTGGCTCAGTAGTGGCAGAGTAGTAGCAGTAGAGTATCTCGGCGCAGTCCCCAGAACAGACAGAGAGAGAGACAGAGGGACTGATTTCCCCATCTGCTAAGGACCACTTGAGTCAGGCTGGGCTTAGCCCCGGTCCTGCCTGGTGTCTGTCTGCATGCTCTTCCACTGTGATGAACTGAGATCAGGGGGTGTAGGCTGTGGTGGTGCACCCTGTAATCTCAGCAGGCTGAGGCAGGAGGGTCTCTGGGCCTTTGAGGCCAGCTTAAGTATGTATCAAGATCCTGTCTCGGAAACCAAATAAATACAGACGGTTTCTCTGTGTGTGCACAGAAGGTAGAGGGGTGCTGCTCAGGGGATGGCGGAAGTGCCTGGAGGAGTGACGCTGACCTGTCAGACTCGGTGGTGGATGTGAGGACTGGAGAAGGTGCCCTGGTCCGAGCCTCCCACCCTCTTGTTAGGTCCCGTGTGCTGCTCGGCAGCCTTGCTCTGATCCCGATGTCCTTCCTGCTTCAGTGCTGGGATGGCCCGGGGCCTCGGTCTCCTCATCTTGTAGCTCTGCTCTGGTGCAGGCGGCGAGTCCTGTGGCCCTCCCCTCCCGAGAGGAGCTCTTTCCCCGTGGTGACTCAGCCTGGCCTGGGCTGGGGTGTGTGAGGCACCACTGCTGCTGCCTCCCTTCCCGGGCTCTGGGGGCAGCATGGTCAGGCGCCGCCAAGGGGCTGCCCATCCCAGGCAGGTTTTGCAATTTCGTGCCACAGCCTCCTCAGCTCTGGGTCTGGGTCCACGCCTCACTCACACCTCCTCCAGCACAGGCCACCAATGAGGTCACCAGTGATGCCAGAAAGGGCTTTTTTCTAGTCATTATCAGTAAAAACTTCCTTTCTAAACATCTCTGTGCCGGGGATGCAACCCAGGGCCTGGTGCTAGGCCCAAGTTCGCCTGGTGAGCTATGTACGCTCCCAGTACCTTTTAGGTTTTTTATTTTGTGTTTTGCTGAGGCAGGGTCTCACTGTGTAGTCTAGGTTGCCCTTGAGCTCAAGGCAGTCAATCCTGCCTCAGCCTCCTGAGTGCTGGGGTTCTAGGTGTGTGCCACCACACCCGGCACACATTCTCTAGTACAGTTCTAGCATTTGTACCAGTTGCTGACATGGTCACTAGGACAAGACAGACCTGGGGCAGCAGCCCCCACCCCCAAGTTCCCAGCAGCAAGTGTTATGCTGGGGGCCTCTTTGCCTCTGTGAGGCTGAGCAGGTGAAGTAAAAATTCAATCCCAGTTTAGGCAACTCCATAAGATCCTGTCTCAAATAGAAAACAGTTTTAAGAAGCTGGGGAGCTTTGGGATCCACCGTCTGTGGTGGAACCGCCGCCAAGATGCAGATTTTCATGAAAACCCTTATGGGGAAGACCATGACGCTCGAGGTTGACCCCTCGGACACTGTAGAAAATGCAAAGGCTGAGATCCAGGATAAGAAAGGACTTCCTCCTGATCAGCAAAGGCTGATCTTTTTTTTTTTTTTTTTTAATTTTATTTATGTGTGTGTGCGTGTGTGCGTGTGTGTGTGTGTGTGTGGCCCGCTCAGCCCACCAGGGGGCAGGGCTGGCTGGCATGTGGTGCTGGGGGATTGAACCGCGGTCCCTGTGCTTTGCTAAGCTTGTTCTGAGTAGGTGCTTTAGACCACTGAGCCATCTCACCAGCCCCAAAGGCTGATCTTTACTGCTAAGCAAAGATGGATGTACCTTGTCTGATTACAACATTCAAAGGGAGTGTGCCCTTCATCTTGTGTTGAGATTCCGTGGTGTGTTAGGAAAGGAAGAGATCTTACACCACTCCAAGAAGAATAAGCATCAGAGAAAGAAGGTTAAGTTGGCTGTCCTAAAATACTGTAAGGTGGATGAAAATGGCAAAGTTAGTCGTCTTCATCGAGAGCGCCCTTCAGACGAATGTGGCGCAGGAGTTTTCGTGACCAGCCACTGTGACAGACATTATTGTGGCAGGTGTCGTCTGACTTACTGCTTCAGCAAACCAGAAGACAAGTAATTATGTTTTTCTCGAGGAACCGGGAATTGCACTCAGGCCCTTGCGCTTGCCAGGGAAGCGCTTATTTCACTGAGCCATCTCCCCAGCAAGACAAGTAATTGTGAGTTGATAAAAACTTCAGCTAGGGGCCAGGGAGATGGTTCAGTAGGATAAGCGCTTGACTCAGATCCTAAAACGCAAGGATCTGAGTTCAATCCCCGGCTCCACCAAAAACAAAAACAAAACTTCAGCTAACAAAAATAAGTAAGGCTGGGGACGCAGCTCAGTGGGCTGCCTTGGGGTCAAGCCCCAGTACCAAAACAATCAAAAACAAATGAAGGAAAAGAAGGCTCCGCAGGTGTCCTGACCTCCCTGTGCCCCCAGCCTGCCCCTGCTGTGACCCAGGGAGCCCCCAAGTGGACAGGTGAAGCCGGGCCAGGGTCATCATTACTGTAGCTAGAGGAAAACAGAGGCTCTTTTTAGCAGCGCTTGTGTCGTTTCTAAGTCATCGGGGTGCCAGGGCTGTGTGCTGGGGTCCGGAGGAAAAGGCTCGCAGGGCCACTGCTGCTGTCGTCATGGGGCCTGCTCGGCAGCTGACCCCCCCTCCCTCCCTGTGGGCCAGGTATCCCGGAGGACTCCAAGGTGGAGGGCCCGGCCTTCACGGACGCCATCCGCATGTACCGCCAGGCCAAGGAGCTGTACGGCACCTGGGAGATGCTCTGCGGGAATGAGGTGCAGGTGAGGCCCAGCAGCGGGGCTGCAGACGGCTGGGGGGCGACCATGGCACGCAGGGCCAGCTCTGGGCTGCGCTGCGTTGTGTACTCATGGGTTGAGCACTTCGCCGGGCCAGCTCCCCTGAGCACAGGCAGCCCTGGCCCTGGACAGCTCGCTGACTCCGAGGAGAAACTGCTGTTCAAGCGGGTTGTGGTGGCGCACACCTGTAATCTCTCCGTACTCAGGAGGCTGAGGCAGGAGGATCAACATGAGGCCCACCCAATCTATGCAGTGAGACCATGTATCAAAGCAAGTTAAAAAATAAATACATTGCACACGCACAAACACAGCAGCTGGAATGGGAGGGCGTGGAGTGTGCAAAGGGCTTGGGGCGGGGCCTCAGGCACGCAGGCAGGCAGACCTGCCCCCCTGGGGTACAGGGAGCCGCAGGGCCAAGGCAGAGGAGAGGAGCTGGAGGGGCCTGGGCCGGATACAGAGAAGCAGGCCTCTGGCCTCCCGCAAACCTAGCGTGGGCTTCTTGGTCCTAGATCCTGAGCAACCTGGTGATGGAGGAACTGGGCCCTGAGCTGAAGGCGGAACTCGCACCACGGCTGCGGGGAAAGCTGCAGGAGCGGCAGCGACAGTGGATCCAGGTGGGCTGCGACCCCGGTGGGATGGGGATGGGGGCCGGGTCCTCTGCCCCACGTGACCGCCCCACGTGACACGCCGCCCCCGCAGATCTCGGACTCCACATACCGCCTAGTATATGAGCAGGTCAAGGTGCTCTTTGAGGAGACGCTGTCCAAGCTGCAGCGGGCCCGGCCCGCCATGGAGGCGACCATCCGCACGGACATGGACCAGATCATCACCTCCAAGGAGCACCTGGCCAGCAAGATCCGAGGTGGGCACCCTGGCACGCTTCCATTCTGCCTGTTGCCCGGTCCATGCTTGATGATAATTTTTAATTTTTTTTTAAATTAGTTATTTTGATTTTTTTTTTTTTTTTTTGCGGAATTGGGGATTGAACTCAGGCCCCTGGGCTTGCCAGACAAGTGCTTTTTCTTTTTCCACTGAGCCATCTCCCCAGCCCTTGATGATAATTTTTGAAAATCAGAATCAAGGCCTGGTTTGGTGGCGCCACCTGGGATCCCAGTGCTGGGGGATGGGGGGCGCTGAGGCAGGATCGTAGCTGTGCGTTCACGGCCAGCCTGGGCTGTGCATTGAGTTTAAGGCCAGCGTGAACTGCACAGTGAGGCCCTGTCTCCAAAACAAAACAAATACACACCCCTGTGCAGGCCGGGAAGTGTTGTATTTGTACTCCTGAGCTACGTCCCCTTCCCAACAGTTTTCTTAGTTTCTTCCCATTAGTGTCAGAAATACCTCAGGTCCAATCTCGGAATCCTCTGTTATTTCTACCTCGTGGGGTTGTTATCTTTGCCCACTCTTCCTCTGCAATCATTGAGCCTGGGAAGGTAGCCACTGCTAGTGACTTTCTGTAAAAACAGCGTAGCTTATGTGCCTGGGGAGCCCGGGTGCCCCGGGTGCTGCCCGCTGGGCAGGACGATCCCCTGACCTCTCTTGGGGGCGCAGCGTTCATCCTGCCCAAGGCAGAAGTGTGTGTGCGGAACCACGTGCAGCCCTACATCCCGTCCATCCTGGAGGCCCTCATGGTGCCCACCAGCCAGGGTTTCACCGAAGTGCGCGACGTCTTCTTCAAGGAGGTCACCGACATGAACCTGAACGTCATCAACGAGGGCGGCATCGACAAGCTGGGCGAGGTGCGCTGAGCCCAGGGCTGTTTTTCTGGGGAGCACTGTCAGGGAGGCCGTCCAGGCAGGACCTGTAAGCAAGCTGGGACCCCAGCTCTCTGAGAGGGTGAGGCGGGAGCATCGCAAGTACGATCCTAGCCTGGGCAACTTAGCTACACCCTGACTCAAAAACAAAAATACAGAAAAGGCCTGGGGATGTAGCTCAGTAAGAAGGTCCTGGGTTCAATGCCTGATACTGGGGGCGACGGGAGGGCATGAACAAAGATCCCACAGAGGTAGAACAGGACAGCTGTCCCATGTCCTGGTGGAGCCAGCAGTTAGGTACAGGAGGGAACATTAACTCCCTGGAAAGTTAAAATGTAAGACTGGATGTGGGGGCACACACCTGTTACCCCAGGACTCAGGAGGCTGAGGCAGGATGATTGCTGCAAGTTTGAGGCCAGCCAGGCCTAAAAGTGAGTTCAGGGCAGCTTTCGATATATAAAGAGACCTCGTCTTAAAAAAACAAAAAATAACCAGCCAGGTACCCTACCAATGCAGATGGCCCTTCTCCCTCCCCTTTCCTCAGTTACCTGGTTCTTGGCATGTGTGTCATTCCACTGTCCCCATATGGGGACAGCTGGCTGCACACCCACATAGCTGTCAGGTGGGGATAGAGTCCATCCCGCGTCCCAGCCACCTCCTTTCCTCTTGTATCTGGGAACCCACAGACAAGAAGAATCATAGAATTTGAGAAAAACAAGCGTCCTTAGATGTCATGAAAAGCTGCCTCCTGATCTTGGGCTGAAGTCACTGAGGCCCAGAGGAGGAGGGTGACTGGCACCAGGTCACCCAGCACCCCGGAAGGAATGAGGGCTCCCTTCATCTCGGCCTTCCTGTCCTGGGCATCTGGGTTGGCAGCGACCCAGGTGCCCATCCCTGGTGACCGGTGCCAGGCCTGGGCAGTTGTGGGTCTGTGGGCTGCTTTGCCCTGCGCCGCCCCTGCTCAGGCCCATGTGTCCCCGCTGCTTGCAGTACATGGAGAAGCTGTCCCAGTTGGCCTACCACCCCCTGAAGATGCAGGGCTGCTATGACAAGATGGAGCCGTTGCGGTTGGATGGGCTGCAGCAGCGCTTCGACGTGTCCAGCACCTCTGTGTTCAAACAGCGCGCCCAGATCCTCATGCGCGAGGTGGGCCCCGCTCCCCACCCTTCCTGGGGGGCCTGCTCTGTTCTGCACCTCCACTAGCCCGGCCCCGCCCACCCCTGAGCTCACTGTCCTTCACACCTGGGTTCCCCGCCCCTTCTTGTGCCCGCAGCCGTGACCAGAGTGAGCAAAGGCACCTAGAGCGCCCGCACACTCTTTCCTGACAGGCTGGGTGGGGGCTGGCTGGGGACCCCCTGGGCGGCACACGCGAAGGGGCTGCGGTCACTCCAGCGGGTCCCGCTCCCACGTGTTCCCACAGCAAATGGACAACGCGGTATACACTTTCGAGACGCTGCTGCACCAGGAGCTGGGGAAGGGGCCCACCCGGGAGGAGCTGTGCAAGTCCATCCAGCGCATCCTGGAGCGCGTGCTCAAGGTGGGCGAGACTGCGGCCTGTGGGGGGCGCTCGCGCGCGCATGTGTGTATATGAGTGTGTGGCGCGCGTGTGCCAGTGCCCTGGTGCCCTTGAGGCCTTGAGCTGCTGACCCAGAGTCCCCTCCCATGTCCCTGGGCCCTACAGAAATATGACTACGACAGCAGCACGGTGCGCAAGCGGTTCTTCCGGGAGGCGCTTTTGCAGATCGCCATCCCCTTCCTGCTCAAGAAACTGGCGCCCACCTGCAAGTCGGTGAGCAGCCTGCCCCAGCCTCGCGGCCCAGCGGGCGCCAGGGCACTGTGCCCAGACCCGCTGTTCCTCTGCTGCCCTCTGCTGTGCCCCACAGGAGCTGCCCCGCTTCCAGGAGCTGATCTTTGAGGACTTCGCCAAGTTCCTCCTGGTAGAGAACACTTACGAGGAGGTGGTGCTGCAGACCGTCATGAAGGACATTCTGCAGGGTGAGGGGCCGCCTGGGCTGGGTAGTGGCAGCCAAGGGACAAAGGAAGGCCCAAGAGCCCGGTGTGGTGGCGCACACCTGCAATCCTAGCACTTGGGAGGCTAAGGCAGGAGGATTTCTAGGAGTTTGTGGCCATCCTGTACAAAAAAGATGGCTGAGTGGAGACCACAGATAGTTGTGTGGCCCCGGGCAGCAGTGCTGGCCGCCTCTCTGTGCCTGCTTCCTCAGGTCTTTGGCCTTGCTGGGTGGGTCAGGGAACGCAGTGGTTAGCAGCCTGGGCTCTAGCCACAGGAGCCATAAGCCAGGCCGCCCCCCGGGGAGGAGGCAGACCCCTGGCACTCGCCACTCACTCTCATGCACTGTGTGGCCCACAGCCGTGAAGGAGGCAGCGGTGCAGCGGAAGCACAACCTGTACCGGGACAGCGTGGTCCTGCACAACAGCGACCCCAACCTGCACCTGCTGGCTGAGGGCGCGCCCATCGACTGGGGCCAGGAGTATAATGACAGTGGCAGCAGTGGTGGGGACAGCCCCAGCCCTGTGGCCCCTGAAGGGTCCACCCTATCAGAGAAGCGCCGGCGTGCCAAGCAGGTGATGTCCGTGGTCCAGGATGAGGAGGCAGGGCTGCCCCTCGAGGAGGGTTCCGAGCCATCACTGGCGTCCCCGGACAGTGTCACTGAGATCCGTGGCCTGCTGTCCCAGGAGCTGCAGGCTGAGAGCCCTCTGCTCAATGGGGCCCTGGCCCAGGACAGCCCCCAACCTGAGGCTGTCCCTGAGATGCCCTTGCCACCCGGCTCGCCGCCTCAGCATCTCCCACCTGGGAAGGCTGTGGACCTTGAGCCCCCCAATGCTACCAACCAGGAGACGGGGGAGCAGGTGTCCAGCCCCAGTAGCCGTACCCCCATCCATACCACCACTGAAGACAGCTCCGGGGTTCAGACAGAGTTCTAGACCAGTGGCCCGAGCGGCTGCTTCCTCCGAGGCACCAGCAGGCTCAGGGCCCTGGGCAGGGGCACCCCATATGGTGCCAACTGAGTCACTTTACTGGGTGTGTCCCAGCCTGGGCTGCTCCCCATCTTCCCGTCTGTGGGCTGATCTTGGATGCAGGGTCTGGTTCCAGGCTTTCTCTTTGTGCTGGGGACTCAATGCAGCTGGAGGTGACTGGGGCCTCCACCATCCTGCCCTGCTTCCGGCACCTCCAATTCCCTCCCTATGGGTCTTGCTATTCCTGAGGGAGGATGGATGGGCACGGGTGCTGCTGCCCAAAGTCTGGGAGGCTGGAGTCACCCTTGACTCAGCGAGGGTGTACCAGGACCAGGGTGGTGAAGGAAGCTGGGGCCTGCGCCCCATTTCCATCCTGCCCCTCCCAGCCAGGGACTGCCCGGGGAACGAAAACAACAAAGGAGGGGGGTCATCAGGCTGGGCCTGGGTGTGGCCTTGTCCCCAGGAAAGTGGGTGAGGGGCCTCATGAGAGGAGAAAGACGTGGAATGTGCTGGTCTGTGGCGAGAAGTTGGGACGAGGGTTGGGAGTGTTCGAGGGAGGCTTGAGGCTGAGGTGGCAGCTCGAGTGTCTCCGGAAGTGGGCCCCTAGGGGCACAGCACACACCCATTACGCCCAGCCCCTGCCCATCTCCTCGCTGGTCTGGGATCCAGCATGGTCTCAGGGCTCCCTGCCCTGTGCACCTTGGGTCATGTGTTGGACGGGCAGGAGGTTGCTATGAGGCTTGGTGTCACCTCCTGCCACCTCTGAGGAACCACGATGGGGCTCCTGAGGGCGAGAGAGGGGCATGGCCTTTGCTGCCTCTGAGCCCCAAGCCTCCTGACCTAGAAAGTTCTGGGCCCCTCTATGAGAATGTCCTCTGAATCACCTTGGTTAAGCTGAGGCAGCCCCAGTGTGGTGGCACCCACCCAGGGCCTGGTACTCCAGCTTGGCATCTTCTGTGCTCTAGACCTGCTCCCCAGGGCAGGGGCCTCAGACCCACAGGGCAGCAGCTGGTGGTCAGGGACCCTGTGCCCCATCACTAACCTCTTTCAATGTTTTCCTCTAGTGCCTTGGGGGTTTCAGTCAGCCTTCCCGGCTATGGTATTGCAAATACTATGCAAACTGTTTAAGCCTCTGCTAATCAATAAATGCTTTATTTAAAGCTGTTTGTGTGTACTGGGGTGGGGGGCGCGGGCTGGGAGTGGGAAGGGGACACATGCAGCCAGGGAGGGGACAGGACAGTTTCCTGACCAAGAGCCATGGGGGCACAGCCTCAGTTTTGTTTGAGACAGGGTCTCACTATGTAGTCTGGGCTGGCTTTGAACTCACAGGGATCCTCCTGCCTCAGTCTCCTGAGACCTAGCCTTGCAGGCATGTGCCACCTTGCTGCCCAGCTCCATGATCTGAGTTCTTACCCCATTTTGCTGAAGCGCTGAGCCAGCCGCTGAGTGAGCATGGTGTGCACACCTGTAATGCTAGCGCTGGGGAGATTGAAGACAGGAGGATCCCTGCGAGTCCGAGCTGCATAGTGAGACCCTACACCAAACACACTCAGAGACAGACAGAGACTGAGGCTCAGAGAAGGACTCATCCCAGATCACGGAGCTGTGGGTGACTGTGCGTGTGGCTGCCGCTCACGCAGGCGTGCTCTGCTCAGCTGGGGCAGGCTGCTGCTTAGCACTGAGTGACGGAGATGGCAGGGGCATTCTAGCCAGTCAAGGCCCTGGGTGCCACCCAAAATAGGATGCAGACGGCCATGCCGGCTTGCCCCAGACCAGACCCCACGCTGGCATTCGGTGAGAACCTACTGTGTCTACATGGGGCATCTTGGCCAAGGTTATGTTGAGAGCCCTGCAGCTGGGGCAGGGGCAGCCCCTGTCACGATGTGCCCTGTCAGTGGTAGCACATGTCCCTACCCATGTCCCTGGTCAGCCTGATCGCCTCAACAGCACTAGGTGCAGGACAGCTTGGGCCCAAGGCTGGGGACCGCTGGTGTCCTGCTGCTGCTCTGGAACTCCTCAGCTACATGAGAGGCGGCAGAGGTCCTTGCTGCCTAGTGAGAAGTGGAGACCCAGAGGCCACTGTGCTCCACAGAGTGGCCCAACCTGCCTCAGTCTCACCTCTTGGCCAGACAGAGCCCAGGAAGAGATGTGGGGGGGGAGGCACCCAGCCCTGCCCTGGACGGCAGGACTTCCCACGAAGGACATTCACCCGACCTCTAGCACTGCAGGAATGATGGTTCCAGTGAGGAGGGGGAAGGCCTCCCAGAGCCCAACTCGCCGTGCATCCCTATGGACCCTGCATCTCGGGGATCACTGAGCGCCCCCTGGTGGCTGCAAGCCAGAGGCCCACTGTGCCCCACCCTAGACATGGGGAAACCGGCCTGACTACCTGTGAACACACCTGAGTCCCTCAAGCACAGGTATGTGCAGCCACTGGGACTCTACAGCAACCCACGGACACCACATGCAGGCTCCAAGCCCATCCTGCTACGTCTGCCCACCTCGGCCTCAGCTCACCTGCCTAGGATGACAATCAGGACGCAGCCTGGGTCCACAGGACACCTCCAGCTGTGGATCTGGGGCCACTGCCAACCTGGCTCTGGCTGCCCAGGCGCTATCTCCCCACCTGGAAAGCCGTTCCAGAATGGCTCTGCCTTCTGCCTCCTGCCCTCCCGACCCCGGGGACGCCCAGATGAGCCAGGGGAGGCACGCGCAGATAGATTTATTGACATTCCTGCTCTGGGTCCAGCTGTGTGGGCGGGGGCACAGATGTGTAACGTGGGCGGGGCACATGCAAGAGCAGCAGAGGGGAGGCTGGGGCCAGGCCTGCGCAGCACGCCCCTCCCCAGGGTGTCCCTGAGGGTGTGGGGACAGCAGGGCACACTCCACACGCTGGACCTGCCCTGCTGCCGCGAGCCGCCTGCCTTCCTGCCCAGTGTTCAGAATGGCTGTGCCTAGCATCAGGAGCGCCCCCGCCTGGTCCGGATGTGCGTGGCAGGGAGAGGCCCGGGGACTCGATCCGGGCAGAGGCGGGCGCTGCGCTCAGCTGCTGTGGTAGATCCGGAGGCTCTGGGCAATGTCCTGGCGGCACAGTGGACAGGTGCGCAGGGGCTGGCAGCACTGCTGGCAGCAGCAGACGTGGCCACAGGGGAGGAAGACGGTCTGGGCCTGCACGGAAGTGACAGCGCAGCGCATGGGCCCCCAGCTGGCTCTCCCAGAACCACAGCTAAGCCAGGCCCTGTGCTGTTTATGCTAAAAATCTGGTGGAGGGTCAGAGACATAGCTGAGCAGCATAAGCCCCTGCCTGGCAAGTGCAAGGTCCGAGTTCGAGCCTTGGCATCAAAAAAAAATTTTTTTTTGATGGAGCAGCACCAGGACATAGGTTTGATCCCCGGTTTGATGCTGTGCTCGCCCCGCACCAAACCAGCCCCTGAAACCGGGTGTGGTGGCGCATGCCTGTAATCCCTGCACTGGAGAGACAGGAGAATCACTAGGAGTCTGAGCTGTGTAGTGAGACCCTGTACCAAATAAACAAGATTTTTAAAAAATGTTTTTTAAATCAATTTTAAGACACAGTCTTGCTAACTAGCTAAACTGCCCAGGCTAAGATTGAATTTGTAATCTTCCTGCAGGTATGCACCTCAAACCCTTTCTTCCTTAAAGCTGGGATTAATTCTGCGCATGCTCATTGCCTCCCCACCTGGCCCAGACACTTCCCACATTCTATGTGGCAGCAGAGGGGGCCTCTGGTGTTCAAGCACCTCCTCCACTGGGCACTCAAAACCTCAGCCTAGCTTTCTTCTGGTGCTGGGGGCAGAAGCCAGAGCCTTGAGCACATCAGGCAAGCAAGAGCTGTGGTCCCCCGATTTGTGCAGCACAGGCGCCTGCCCAAACCCTGAGGTGCTGGTCTCAAATGCCTCTGCCCTGGTGGACTGGGCGCCTGGGAAGGCTTGCTGGTGTATTTCCTCCTACTCAGAAGCCATCAGGGATGTGCTCCCAACTATTCAAAGGTGCAGGGGCCTGGCTAAGTGCACAGCAGCTGGTCCCTTGGCACACAGCAGTCCCATGACCCTGAAAGATGGGAGAATGACCAAGCTACCACTACCCTGATGTTCTAAGTGCTCCCGGGTGGCAGCAAGGCAGGCCTTGCAACATCTACATTGCTATAGTTACCTTTTGTGGTATGTATCCATTTTACAACAATTGCTAGTGATCTCTTCACTTGTTTATTCATGTATTTATTTTTAAATGTACTTGGTTGTTACAGGGTCTCACGATGCAGCTCAGACTCGTGGAGAACCTCCTGCTTTCAGCCTCCCTGACACTGGGATTACAGGTATGTGCCACCACGCCTGGACTCTGGCCAGCTCAGCCCGCTCTGGGGGCGCGGTGGGGCTGGCGCGGCACGCAGTGCCAGAGATCAAACCACTGTCCCTACGCTTGCCTAAGCAGGCGCTTTAGTCCACTGAGCTATCTCACCGGCCCAAGGCAAGGCAAGGTCTCACTGTGCAGCTCAGGTTGGCCTCAGACTCATGATGGAGCCCAAGCTGGCCTCGAACTCACAGCAATCCTCCTGCTTCTGCCTCTCGGATGCTGGGATCACAGGTGTGCCCTGCCCCCCCCCCCACGCAAAAAAGTCTTGATAAAGGGAAAGCGTGCTGTTGATGTTTTATGAAATAAGAAAATTCCCCAATGTGTTTATTAAACTGGAGGAAAAGAATCCATAAAGAAGGAGAAGATGATGACAGTGCTAGTGCTGATCATGGGTAGGTCATGGGACCATGGGTCACCTCCACTTCCTGTATTTTTTATTTTGCTGTATTTTCCTTTTTTTTTTTTACATTTATTTATTGTGTGTGTGTGTGTGTGTGTCCAGGTCAGCCCACCAGGGGGCGCGGCTGGCTGGCATGTGGTGCTGGAGGATCGAACCGCGGTCCCTGTGCTTTGCCAAGCTTGTTCCAAGTAGGTGCTTTAGACCACTGAGCCATCTCTCCAGCCCCAAACTCTTTTTTTGGTTTTGTTTTGTTTTGTTTTGTTTTGTTTTGTTTTGTTTTGTTTTGTTTTGTTTGCGGAATTGGGGATTGAACTCAGGCCCTTGCACTTGCCAGGGAAGCCCTTATTCCACTGAGCCATCTCCCCAGCCCCTGTATTTTCCAAAATGCATGGCACATCTATTTATGTAACTAGAGCGAACTAGCTAGAAACCACCATGTGCTTGCAAGTGCGGCCGTGGCCAGGCCCTGCACCCCACCAGGACCATGCCACCCCACTTACCTCCCTCTCCAGGCACACAACACACTCGGAGACCTGCACCTCTGGCTCCGCGGGGGGTGCAGATGGCCTCACTGCCGGCTCTGCTGTGGGTGGCTCCAGGGCCTCAAGGACCTCCCCCTTGGGGGGTTTCAGCTCTGTGGGGACCAGAGGGACTGGCTGAGTGAAGGGCTCATCCTGACTTCCCCAGCCCCTGGGAGCTGCTTGTGCAAGAGGGACTCAGTCACCTGCCTCTATCCTGGCTTCATTCTCCTGGTCCATTTCAGGACAGGGATGGTCACCCTCCCTACTGATAGGGTTCTCTTGTCCCTGACCCTTCACTGCCCCCTCTGGTGGGGCTTGTCACTGCCAGAGTTGAGCAATCCGAGGCTGAAAGGGCTATTACTCCCTAGAGCCCACAGGGACATCTAGTGGTGGAGCCCAGAATCAGAGCCCTAGTCTGGGCGGAGAGCTTCAGCCTGGGGTTGTTGGGGGCTGGGACAGAGGGGACCTGTCAGGTGATGATCCCAGGAGTTGCTCTGCCTGGAGCCAGCAGCCCCTAGTGGGCCTGCGTAGTGCCCACAGTCAGCCAGGCCCTCCCTGCGGGGCGGCCCCGGGGTCAGTACCTGGCTGGGCCCTGGCCTCATCCTGCAGCTCCCGGGCTCTCTGGAGGATCTCGCGCTGCAGCCCAGCCTCAGCGACGCCCACCTGCGGCGGTGGAAGGAAAGTTCACTCTGGTGGAGGCAGGGCAGGCCCAGCCATGGCCGCCCCTGGTGCCTCCCTGCCCCTGGTGCCTTTGGCTGGGTACAGGGCAGACCTGGGCACAGGGGAGAAACTGAGGCCCAAAGGAAAGCAGCACTACTGACAGCCTCAGGTATTGCGTCAGGAACTGCGCATCTCATGTGGCTGGCCGA